ATCATCTTCTGGTACTATAATCTAAATGAATAAAATAATTTTATAACCTGAAATTATTCATACAGATAAAATTTTCATCATTTTTATTAGCCTAGCTTTCTTAGTATGCAATGAGCAACTTTTCAGTATATCAGATGTTAAACCAATACAATTTGTCCTCAGTGTTTTTTAATTTTTCTCCCTTCATATTTGGTAAATTTTAAATTATTTCCTTTTTTAAAACCGTCATCCTATGATTTCATTTTGCTTCATAACCATTAGCAAGGGACAAATTATCGCTAAAGCATTACTCTGAATGATAGAGCTAAAATTATTCGGGTATTGCTATGGAACAATGACAAAGATATCAACAGCAATTGTTAATGATTATTACATTTGTCGCAAAAGTCGCGAAAAACTAAAATAAATTTTATAATTATACAAATAAAATTAGGGATGTTTCCCATGATTCATGATTTACCATTTACCTCACATATTTGTTTAAATTTACATTCCTTAGATTTATTTCCCCTTTCAATTCCCATGTTTTTTCCTTTATGTCTAAGCACATGTCATTGTTTAGAAATGCCTTTGTTAGCAATTGCTTAAAATATCTAACTAAATTCACATCATTCTTCCCACTGGATCTTGTTGCGATGGCATGTTCTGTAATTTGCCTCTCAACAGTTTCCGGTGTTTAATATCACCGCCTCTCACATCTTAACATATATAAGCCTATCCAAAAAGAAAAAGGTTTCCTTTTTTGGATTGGACGTTACATCAACGTTATTAACAGGAAATTTCCTGGCATCTCTGCTCTTAATCCAACTGTCCAAAATTGGTACCAATTTAAAGTCTATTTGGCTTGGTCAATATTAATGCTTAAATAGATCTGCATATTATCCTGTCAATAAAGAAGTTCTTTGGTCACTCTTCTACACAAATAAATATCAAATTTATTGTTGCTGAAACTATTCAACTCAGATAATCAAATTTTCACAACAATATTTAATCATTCATATGTAGTATTACTAAACCTTCGTAAAGAGTATCATAGTCGGATGTAAATTATGACATTTTTGAATTTCTTCAAGTTACCATATCTTATAATCCATGACATTTTTATTGTCATTTTAAAAGTTAGATAAAGAAGATGAACTTTTTCTTTGCCTCTTTTATTCCACAAATGCTCATATTATGACTTTTTTTTTAAATGAGAAAGTAATATCAGCGTATTAGCAAACATTTTTAAATCAGCAACATTTTACCTCAGCAAATTCCGTTTCAAAGTAGATAAGATTGTTGAGATCAATGACTAGCTGTGATAAATCATAGGTAACATTAGCATCATTCAGCAGTAATTTGATTACATCAAGCTGATACTTCTTGTATGCATCCAACTGTTTAGAAAACATGGTTGTATTGAGGTAATAATCCCGCGAGCCACGACCTAATCCAAGTGCTCCTTGGTCTAACTGAAACTTGTTTATTTGGAAAAGAATCAAACTTAAAATTTAAATTAAAACCAGAAACGTTCACAAAAATGAATACTGCCCAAATTTAGAAATACAATTTCAAAGTATACTTCCAACAGATTTTGGGCTTTGAAATTCAATAAATTACGGCTTAAAATTTTATTAGTTTTTAATAACCTCTAAGAAAAGTTTTAAGGGTTCTTCAATTTCCAATGCATGCTGTTTTATAAACAAATTTGAAAGCTTTCTTTGCAAAAGTAACTGCACTAAATTTTGTTATAATTGAAGTACACATTAATTTTGTTTTTCATTAATTTGAATAGAAAGAAAAAAACTGGGCGAAAAAACAAACATATAAAATATTCCTTGTTGTATTTTTGGCATCCGCGTAAACATAAATTTGAAAAAAATTTCATTTCCAAAATATCGACGAGATGAAGCCAAGATATAAGTAAGATTAAACGAATTACCATCCCATTCATTATTGTTATCCAATAATGGCCAATTAGCTAATTGACGAAGTGACGATAACAGTTGTCTGAATATAACTCTTTAACTGATAAGCACAAGGCAAATGGTATAACGCATTAATCGTTTTGACAATAATGCTTTCATTTATACTTCAAAAAAATGAAAATGATAATTATATGCTTTAGCGTTCGAACAATCAATATTGTTATGACATAGTATCATA